GACCCGTTTCAAAAGCTTTTTCGGTATCTCAGAGAAAGACTCATTTTTCCGGAACATCAGAATTTAGCGGTTGTCGACCCAAGCTATGAACGCAATTAGATTCAAGTATTAAAGATACAGTCAAATAACTATAGCGAAACGAGATTTCTTGAAGTTCTCATTGGCAGGGGACCTACTTTCCTTTTTGGGCCAAATTCCACAGCAACTTAACCCTTACTCAGATTTCTGCTTACTAATTCCAATTATCTTTCTAACAGCATCACCTTTATGTAGAAATACTTGTTGTATATGAAGATCAAAAGGCTGAATGTCTTAAGGCGCGATAGGTCTGTTTTTATGTTTAGAAAGATCAGAAAGTTTCGCTGGCAATAGAGCGACCAATCACAAAGGACAGAATAACTCAAGTTGAGGTTGGTCTACAACACTAAAAAAGATACGCAGATCTTGTACTTGCTAGAAAATACAACACAGACTTTTTCCAGAATTTATTGAGAATGTTAGAAAACCAACCACCATCTGTAGTTTTGGAAGTTGACGTTAGGGAAATCATAGCTAGGTACAATCAAAGAATGAAAAAAGGAAATATTGGCAAGGAGGTTCGCTAATTCAAGAATTTCTGCCAAATTTGCGAGGACAAACTCCATTATTTTTAGCGTAGTGCCCTTAAAAAACGAGATCGCCCCGCAGGGAAAGTCTCACTGGATCCGAGTAAACCCGAAACTATACCAATTGGAATGGATAGGGAACATCTTCAAGAAGACTTGGAGGTAGGCCTACTACCCTAGCATCTGGATTTGATATGAGAAATTTGAATTCCAGAAAGTTCCTGTAAAAACCTATGAGACCTCTATGGCACGATTGCAGAACCAAGATAATACTAAAGATGGTACATCGATCACGAAAATGTTACAAGTCGAAGAGCCAAATTCACCGGTTGCCCAATCGAGTCCAGCACCTCTGCCGGAAAATCCACCGAATTTACCAGCAGCATCCCCAGAAACTCAACCAAGTCCAATACCATTGCCAGAAATTCAAGCGAAGCCTGCTCCGGAGCCGGAAAAGAAATTAGATGCCATTATAGCACCACCGGCGAAAAGCCCGGCTGCAGAACCGCCGGGTAAGTAGGGGAAAGCAAGGCTCCTTGGAATATTAACGATATAAATTAGAAATGACTGACAAACAAATAAATATTATGTTGTCTATTGGTCCATTTATGCACTATCTAGGGAGAATTTCGAGATATCTGTTGCCAAAGCGTTTGTGATTAAATTAGCGCGCAAAAAAACTAGGTCTGGGATGGAATTGGGACAGGTTCAGTGTTGTGGACCACAGAAGACACCGATAAAACATTTACACACCCATAGGATGCTCCTTTAGTTCCTTAAATGTGTGAGTTCCACAAATATATCGAATCGTGATATTAAAGACC